AATAAGCTTGCGTATTACTTGTTCACTGACCCTGTCTTTGCAAGTAGCACTTCCTTTTCATCAAGCTTTTAAACGGGCAAGATACGTTTCTTTCACAGCCTTGTTTTTTTTTTTTGCCAGCTCCTACTAACTGTCGAAAAATTATGAGCGAAATGGGCCTGTTTCGTTCCCTTGGATATAAAAAAGAAAACACAATTTATTAGATTAAGGCGGATATGTCGATACTTTATTGCTGGTGCATTGCAGTACAAACCTGTTTTAGCTATAGTGACGGTAATTAAAGCAACGTAATAAAAAATCATTCGCAAATAATGAGTGACGTACCTCAGCAAAAAGAATACGTGGGTACAACCAACATGTCACGTTAAGTTCCCATCACCAATACTAATACTACTACTACTACTACTACTACTACTACTACTAATAATAATAATAATAATAATAATAATAATAATAATACATATAATAATAATAACATATGGGGTTTTACGTGCCGAAGCTAAGATACGAATATGAGGCACATCGTAGCGGAGGGAACCAGTAATTTAGGCCATCTGACGTCCTTTAACGCGTGCTAACATACCACAATGCACGGGGAACTAACATTTCGCCAGCATAGAGTTGTGAACCCCGTGACCGGAATCGAACCCACGACCTCACCATGAAACTTTATTCTTAAAATGTAGTAGTTGGCCAATGGGTGAGCAAGACAACATCTATCCTGCTACGCGTATTGAATGGTTTGTCAAGATTTCGGGTTCAAATAAATCCAACGTCCCCCGTCATTTGAGCAAATTTCACGTCTATTCGAACAATGAAGGGCAATTAAGTGACCACATACTCTAATCACAGACTTCTAGTCCGTGTGTAGTCTCATTGATTAAACTGCTGTTTCAGTCCAGTCCCATTCGGGGACTTCAGTTTGTGTGAATCTTCACTGCATGAACTGAGTTGCAACCTCATCAGAAGCTACATGACGAAGCCGAATCACTGCAGTAACCAGGGAATCGACGTACACCCTTTTGCCACAGGCGGTATGAGTAAACATTTTAATGAGCCCTTGTCGACGCATGCAGGCTTGGCCGTTTTATACATCTCATCCAGAAATGTCACCGCACGCCACGAGTGACTGAAAATTGAGTCGTAGAATCGGCCATAGTTCAAACGGACCGGAAGTTGACCCAGAAAAACACAGAACTCTGGGTCGAGACTTGCTCGTACGCATACCCGATGCGGGACAGCCGACCTTGTGGCACAAATAGAGAAACGACATCGTTCGCTGCCGAGAAGCACGGAGTGAATGAAAGAAGAAGGCCTCCGCCGAGAAGCAGGCAGAAAGAGAGAGATCGAGTTATGGGGGACTTTTATCAGTGACCCAAATGGATTTCTTTCGCTTGTTTGATGTCTTTGACTCGGCGCGAAACAAAAGAATGAGTGCGATGAACATTTCCTCCACTCAACATTCTCCCTCTAAACAGCGCAGAAAGCGGGAAGAACAAAAAAAGAGGGGGCAGGAACCGCGCATACACGCCAGGGCCATTTTCGCGAGAAACGATCGTAAAAACTGGGCGGTCGATGGCGCGGCAACTTCGATTCCTCCCTCTAGCCGGCCCTCTTTTTCGAAGCTGCGTGGCGGCGGGACGCCACTCGCAGCTGCAGAAAGTAAATAAACCGTACGAGACCGATAAAGTGACATCGCGCGCAACACTGAGAACGCAACAGCGAAGCCGCCACCCCGCCGGTGCGATAACGTCTCTGTAACAAAAAACTATGAAAAAAAAGAAGCATGTAAGCTAAAAGATGCACGAAAATCCCCGAGCCCAAAAACGTACAGGCGCGCATGCTCGCTGACCGGCCACGGGTGATAAATAAAGCGTCGGTCAAGCGGTGGGCTTCCCCATCGCCACTGCTGCCTGGGTCTTTACACCGTAGCGAGCTCGGGTTTGGATTGAGATATCGAATGCCTCATTACGTATTTGTCCCCCGCGCACCGCCGCGCCAGCCGTGAACGTCGCAAGTCGACATGCGGCTCGGTCGCGCCCTTTGCAGTGTAAGCGTGACTGAGCTGAGCGCATAATCCGCTGGGAGTTGCGCAGCGCCCCGCACGTTTCCTCTTCCCTCGGGCGCTTTTCTGGGTGTGTAGATAAAGTAAAAGTAAGCACATTTCACGGGCCATGGCCTGCCACCTTGAGAGAATCATTGCGCAAGGCGCCGAACTGTAGTCTATACACTCATGACGTAACAGCGAGCTAGGGAGAGATAGGTAGATGGATATAATGAGTGAAGTTGGTGAGATGTGTCTACCCTACTACGCTGAGGGAAGAGGAAATAGCAATAATTGATTGATATGTGGGGTTTAACGTCCCAAAACCACTATATGATTATGAGAGACGCCGTAGTGGAGGGCTCCGGAAATTTAGACCACCTGGGGTTCTTTAACGTGCACCCAAATCTGAGCACACGGGCCTACAACATTTCCGCCTCCATCGAAAATGCAGCCGCTGCAGCCGGGATTCGAACCCGTGCCCTGCGGGTCAGCAGCCGAGTACCTTAGCCACTAGACCACCGCGGCGGGGCGAGGAAATAGCAATAAAAGAGAACAGCGAAGAACACATCAACCTGTGCTTGCGCGCGTATAGAACATTGGAGTCAGATGCCTTCCCATCAGTTAGTGGTCTTCAGAAAAAAAACGTTGTTTGACCGCTATTGTTGACCAGTGATCGATGGTGACGTGACGGTGTACTGCCGTACTGCGCCTACGTTCAGTGAGCGATCAGTTATATCCACCCTAATGCATTTCGTATTGGCTTTCTTTGTATCCCGAATAGAGGATGGTCGCCCATGTGCACTTATGTTCTCATGGAAACCGCAAATATCGCGTGAAGGACCGTCCGCCATTACACTTCGGACAAAATGAGTTTTTCTTAGAAGTTAATACGAACCTCAAACAGTGGAGGAGCGATTCCGCACTCTGCTAACAAGGGTGTGGGTGCCAGATGGTGGAGCCACCTCGCAACGTGTGTCCTACGAAGTGGAATGAAGTCAATAAGATAAGGGAAATAAGCTGCCGGACTGGCGCATTTAAAATGTCATATTTTTTTTCCAGGACGATAGCGCGGTGGAATAGGTTGCCTTATGAAGTAGCAGAGGTTACTTCACATCAAGTATTTTCAAGATTACTTCAAGGTCTAGAGTAGCATACTTGCGAGGATGTGTAGGGACGAGAGGGTGCTGTGAAGCTGCTTTGTATTCTCTACTCCCACGTGCCGCTACTTATAGTTGACAATGAATTGCGTCATTATTATGTTGTAAAAGTGTGAGTATCTGTATTCAGTACTGAAATTTTGTACTCTCCCCCCCCTCCCCCCAATTTAATGCCCTTGGGCGCTGTGGGTACTGTGACAAAGTGTTCCGGTCAGGATCCCAGTGCATTAAAGTGTGTACATAACGTACCATGAATTTAAGTGATGGCCATTTTAAACTTTCTTAGAACGCCTACTCCAAGTAGAATTTCCAAGTGTCTACTACGCCAATATTATTAATTTGGAAAAGTAGCCTTGTAGGTGTTATGTGACTCGCAGCGTTTGATGGTGGAATCGTATACACGCACGGCCAATGAACGGGTGGATAGATCAGGCTGTCTATTGTCGATAATCCTGCAGTGACTTGGTGTCACTGAAAATTTACTTGATGACTTTTCGCAGTTAGACAGTGTGTCAGCTCATCAACCTCAAATACCAGCCGCTTCTGCCGACCACATCGTGATGGTGACAGTAAAAACTGCACCACTGCCTTTGAGTCGGCAAAAAAAAGAGCATTTTTTGGTTAGTTTCATCGCTTTGCAACTTTTACTCCTGACAGCAGTGCGTGTGTGTTAAATAGTACCTAATATGAACACACAAGCCAAGATTGATGATTGATTGATATGTGGGGTTTAACGTCCCAAAACCACTATATGATTATGAGAGACGCCGTAGTGGAGGGCTCCGGAAATTTAGACCACCTGGGGTTCTTTAACGTGCACCCAAATCTGAGCAAACGGGCCTACAACATTTTCGCCTCCATCGGAAATGCAGCCGCCGCAGCCGGGATACACAAGCCAAGAAGGGATCATGCAGTAAGACTTTTATAATGTCGACATTTGTTTGCGGTAATAAATACATTCCCCATGAAAAAATTGCGATTATCGAAATTCATTATGTAAGCATTTCCACACTGATTCAACAAGAAAACTGTCCATCAGTCCACCTGTCATGCAATACTTTCATCGTCATAAAGAAATCGAGATTGAGGCAAACTATTGTTGATTAGTTGTACTATGTTTCAACTCGGCCTTCCAAGCACTTCTTAAGCACTCGACTGCACAGCCACGTCTGTAAAATGAGCAGTATACCTGAACAACACATATGCGTAGTGCCAACTGTGCAATTTATGTATTTATATACGCTGAAAGAGAACACTTTCTGCCATTGATATATACATAATTTCGTAGAAGTGGGGCATAAATGCTCCTTAGAAGGCAAGACGTAAACGCAACATGGAGGATTGTACGCATGCGCAAAATGCTATGATCACGAGAACTTGACGCCAAGCACGCCTCTTTATGGTCATGGTACACGCTTGCCGTAGTGCCGTTCGAGACACCAACGAACGCTAGGGAAGAAGGTAAAGGGCGCCACGCTGGGTTCTATGGAAACATAGTTCTAGGGAAGGATGCAATCTACAACAAACATTAAGTATGCGAGTCCCTAAGTTAAATCCCAATGACAACTCTACGCCAAGTTTTTTTTTTTTGAGGGGGAGGAGGAAGAGCTTGTTGCTAGTGGGCTCTCATTGCTTGTTACTTTTCCTTTATCGCAACGAAGAACTTCAAGGAGTTAACTACTGCCGTGGTTGCTATGGTCACCACCTTTTCGCCCCCCAACACTTTTGGCGGGGGGGGGGGGGGTCGTAAATCAAGAGAAGCAAACAAGAGCGCGAAGCAGCGAGGAAAGACTAACCGGAACCGGATATGGCAACAAGTTGCACGTCATCGCTCTCCGTATACGGGTTGAGCAACGGGACACCACACACCTACGCGACAACGTAAACATGGTACGCCAGCCAGAGTTCCTGAGCATGGCCACTCGGAGAGGCGTGAAAAACAGTTTTCTGCGTACCTTCACCAGCTCTCGGGCAGTAAGGGACACGCTTTGCTTTTTTTTTTTTTTCGCTGCAAGGATTGCTTACGTAAAAACCAAGCCGGAACGTGCCGGTATGAACCCGGTTTCCGCAAGCGGCGCTTGTTTTCGCTTGCGCCCTCACGGCGCTGGCATCGCACACACGTGTATGCACGCGCGTGCCACTCGGCTCATTTCCCGCTGCGCGAGTCATCGCCGTTCGCCGCGCCACCTACGAGCGATCGTTCCCGAAGCGCGGGGATCACGCCACTGCCTTCTCTCGCCGCTGTTGTAGTTATTTCTCCAAGAAGCGTACCACTGCGGGGCCCTGCCACGGCCGAGTGTATACGAGCTGCCTACCGCGCATCCGGCGAACAATATCCGCGTCGGCCGGCCCGCTGGATGGCAGTCCAAACAACAAGGACCGCACCGTCGCGAAGCGCAAAGGCAAATCAATCGCGAACGGGCCTGGGAACGCTCAGCGATTGCGCCGCGCCTCTCGGCCACCCGCTCCGGCGGGAAAGTGTGACAGGCGCTTTCACACTACTCGCCGCCGATGTGCCGCCTCGAACCGTCCGAGCAGCCGCCCTGTCCCATACTGCGCGCTGATTGCTCGCTGTCTGCGCGTAATTGAATAGATAGGCGCGAGAAGGGACTCTGTCGCTGATCGGCGCGTTTGTTCGTTTACGTGCGCGCACTCGCCTCTGTCTCGAGCTGTTCTCGGTAAACGGCTCGTTCGGGACCTCCGAGGCAGCACTGCACGTTCATTGCGTGTGTTGACGCAAAGACGCCTTGCACCTTCATACGGCACGCTGTAAACGTCCCATGATAGTCGATAGTTCATCACCACGGGGACCCACTTTATACAAGCGTCCTACTGGCGCCTTTTTTTTCGTTTTAACGCTCTTTCTCGAAGAAAAGGAGACTGCTGAGCAATCCCGCGAATATAAGAGAAGCCACGGAGATAGCGACTCATCAAGTGTTTCTTTTTGTCGAGATCACTGTATTCTTCAATGACGCACACAATTGGTCGATGTACTTCAGCACCAAGGGGCTATTTCGTCTATAACCAATTAAGGGAGCTCGCTCGTGATCTCAACCTAGAGTTCTCCACACGGCACTGTGATTGCGCTCATTTCTGCAGTGCAGGGGAGTGGTAGTTATCAAGAATGACCGTTCCGCTCTGCGTATCGTATTAGGCGTTGTCTCGAAAATTCAATTTCCGCGAATCGGAGTATACTTGATAATAAAAGCTATAGATGTTCACACTGCCGGCTCACCAATTTGCATCGATTGCATTTACGTTTCTTAGAAACCCATCATGATAATATCTGCTAAAAAATAAAGACAAAAAATGTTCGGTCTTTTCTCTACTCGCGTCACCTGCGCGCCCAATATGTCACAAATGTACAATTTAGGTGGCGCCAAGCATGCCTTTCTGAAATCAGATTTCTTTAGAGATTTTTTTATTTGAAAGTTGCGAAACTATTGTAGCGCTTGAGAGGATCAGTGCACAGCAGCAAAAGTTAACCCGGAATACGGCTGGTTCCCTACATCACAAGTGGCACAGTTAGAAAAGCGAACAGTGATAGATAACTGTGGTGTGTACATGGAATAAGCGTATCATGACACACCAACGCATTGGCATTAACTTCGCAGTTATATGTGACAGCTGAACTATTAGGCTCTAAGATGCGCAGTCATGCTGTATGTTAGGTTGCTGCCTATAAATATTTGTTGCCTAAGCTTTCCTAGCTAGATATTTTACGTCAAAAAGAACCTTGACAGCGAGTGATATATACAGGAAGAGAATACAGGTAAATCCTTGTCAACATAATTGCCCGCCTGTTTACAGACTACCTGCACAAATACCTGCCAAGTCACTGTATAAGTTCATAATTACATACTTTTACCTGCATTCTTTATATTGCGTTATTACAATATTCATTTCCATGCCATGAAGTTATTCGTACAAGTTTATAGTGCTTGTTTGTGATCATGTAAGCATACTTTACATTTTTGTCAATGTCTTTCTGGAAACATCCAAGATGTGGATCAATAGATAAATATTATTCTGTTCAATCTCCACAATCACTTGGATAGATAAGGCAGCTCAGCTACAAAGCGAATTTGTGAAAACACTCGGAGTTTGGCACGATGTGCTCTGAAACGTAAAGGTATTGCGGATGCGTGCCGTTAAGCAGATATGTTATTAGATACGTGAATAATGTAAATATCTATCTGACATTTGTTTTTTATTGTCTAGCACTCGTGTATTGTACGTAGAGAATATACTAGGCTTCACATAAGCGCAGACCTACTGTTCAATACAGACTGTACAACAATGCAAATTTATGGACTAAACGCATCATTTTTTAAACATTACGGAAGAATCTCAACCACACATTCGGATTTTTCTGGAAAGCAACTTTAGCAAAATGCTTTCGCTCAGCGAAAATTCATGGTACCGAGTTGCACTGCGTTTGGAGAGAGGGATGTAAGTAAAGGCAGGGAGGTTAAATAGATGCCCCTCCGGCTCGCTACCCTACACTGGGGGAGAGGGATAGGGCGAGGCAATGGGGAGAAAGAGATAGAAGAGAGGGAAGATACACAGAATCATGAGCGGCCCGTCGTTCACGTTTGTCGAAATAAATACAAACGCGCTGTTTCAGTAACGAATAACTACTTGATTATGAACAAACAAAACGACGTCAAAGATGATTAAAACATTTCTTGACATAGAGGGTCGTTTGCGACTGACTCCGTCGTCTTATCAGCGCTCTCCTTCTCCTCCAAGCGCTGTCCCGTGCTCTGCTTTCTCTTCACCCGCAGCTGCCCCTCGGCGTCAGGGGACAACCAGTGGGGCGCGTCCCGCATGGCAGCAAAACAGGCCGTTTACCTGGGCTTGGATGCTCTGTCCTGCTTTTGCGACTCTTCGACATGTCATCGGCAACAATGAACTAATGATGACATGTCCATTTACTTGAAGCACATGGCAATGCAACGGTTCAGTCACAGATTCGGTAATCTACGCAATAGGCTAACCATTCAGAGGGTCATAGCGTAGACATGTGCTCAATATTCTGTCCAGGCGCCTCATTTCACAATCCGATATCAGGTGATAGAGTGTGGTTTCATGATCCCGCGAGCCCTCTACACTATGCTATACACGTCACGTTTTCAGTGAAGACAAAATGTTAGCCAATTAAAACACATCTCCCACTTGCGCCGGAGGACCACCACACACGACCACATGTGCTCAGTTCCCTCGTTTATTTGCTGTGATTGTGAACGGGATTCACGTATAGTATGCGAAACGGCTATAAATTTAATGCCGTACCTTACCTGCTGTTGCTGTGTGCCTTAATTGCTCTGATTTTTCTCCACCTGACGAGACACTATCAGACACTCGACTTCACATATCATAGGATACTTCGGTGCCTGGTTCTTAGATTCTGAACGACTAGACTCAAAGGTCCCCTAAACAACCTCTGAAAAATGGAAGAGAACGAGTACGTCACTCTTTTTTGCTCTTTCCTGTCTTTCCAGTCCAATTTTGACAGCAGCTGTCTGGTAAGTGACGCCACGAGAGAGTAAGCTCTCCATTGGTCCATATACGAGGTGTATACCAGTTGAGAATAATCTTCTACCCTGCTTTGCTATGCAGTCGCACGCTCGTTCTACCTCGTCCCGCTTGAATACCGAGCGGGAAAGTCACTTCGACCTGCGCGCTTTTGACGCGAAGATATGTGTGTGTTGAAGAGGGCCCAGAGCTGATATTATCCACGTTTGGAGCTGATATCCATGCGTTTATGAAGAAATAAGTGGTGAGGAGGAGATAGCGCCTGTAAGAAGGACAGTGAAGACGAGAAAGAAAGCATTCTCTCATCGTAGAGTTCGGAGTGGTTTGGAGCCGTTCAAGGAAAAGCAGCCAATACACCTTTCGAATGGTTAGACTTCCAAGAAAATCTACCTCACTAACATTATCTGGAGGTTTAAGTTTCGAAACTACAATATGATCATTAGGGAAGCCGTAGTAGAGGAATTTCAAAATTTTGACCATCTGCTGTGAGCGGCGTAGCAAGATGGTGGCACATCAAGCCCGTGACGCCTCCCCCCCCCCCCTCGATTTTTTTTCGCCATGGCATACAGCGCGAAAAATCACCATTTCGAAAAGTTGATGCCACCCCCTCTTCCCGCCCCGAAATTTTCGCCTACGCCCCTATCTGGTGTACTTTAACTTGCACTGACATCAAACAATAGACAGATCATTTCGCCTCAACCGAAATGCGACCGCTCCGGCACATTTCAGGATCGAACGTGTGACCACGGTGGTCTAGTGGCTAAGGTACTCGGCTGCTGACCCGCAGGTCGCGGGATAGAATTCCGGCTGCGGCGGCTGCATTTCTCATGGAGGCGGAAATGTTGTAGACCCGTGTGCTCAGACTTGGGTGCACGGTAAAGAACCCCAAGTGGTCGAAATTTCTGGAGCACTCCACTACGACGTCTCTCATAAGCATATGGTGGTTTTGGGACGTTAAACCACACTTATACATGAAATTAGCACCATAAAAACTGCATAACCATGTCGGAGAAGAGATGGTCAATCTCCCTGATAACGTAAAAATGTGGCCTCAAACTTAAAGCTTAAGTTTACAATAACCTACATTTAACTTTATACTGTACGCTTTAATTAAGAATAAATTCCCTGATGTCCAGAATGTATCAAATATTTTCTATAAGTCGTGAAACTTGTCCACTGTTAACTACTTCAACTGACTTTACATGGCCTATAAAAATGCGTGTGCTTAATTCTTTCCCATTAGAAGAAAGCAACAGCGAGCGGTAATCAAACCTATAATCTTGCGTACTCAATCAAAACGCCATATATACCATTGCAAGCGTCCCGTACAACGTCTGCCTGCACTGAGGCCACGACAAGGCTAATAAAAAGACAGTGACATCCTCGGTGTCTCCAACATGATCGATCACGTACTTCCTG